CGATGGACTAATGACTAATCAGCCCATGATCACACATAACTGTGGTGTCATGCATTTGGTATCTTTTAATTTTAGGGGGTCGAACTTGCTATGACTCAGCTATGACCTAAAGGTCCTGACTCAGTCAAATATATTGTAGCTGGGCTTATTCTCTATGCGGGGTCTCCACACGAACAACAGTCAAGGTGTTATTCAGTCAATGGTCACAGGACATATACTTAAATCCCTAATGTTCCACAGGACACGGCATGCGCGCACCCACGTATACGTGTACACACACACGTACACGTACACGTACACGTACACGTACACGTACACGTACACGTACACGTACACGTACACGTACACGTACACGTATACACGTACACACGTACACACGTACACGTATACACGTATACACATGCAAACACTTTGATTTAGTAAATAACTAGCTTAATCAAACCCCCCTTACCCCCCGTTAACCTTACTTATAATAATACGTGCCTATTTATGTCTTGCCAAACCCCAAAAACAAGACTAGACCGTACCTAATCATAAGGCCTAAGAAAACGCTTATAAGCTTTACCAAACCCCTATCATTACTAGCTATTAGTACTAAATCATAACTCTGTTCGCAGTTATCTATAGATACGCCAACCTGATCTCTAACTCGTTCCTATTGAACAACATCTCACATAGCCAAAATAACTTCACACCCCAGTTAATGTAGCTTAAACACAAAAGCAAGGCACTGAAAATGCCTAGATGAGTCACCAGACTCCATAAACACAAAGGTTTGGTCCTAGCCTTTCCATTAGTTATTAATAAGATTACACATGCAAGCTTCCGCATTCCGGTGAAAATGCCCTCCAAGTTACCCAGTAACCTAAAGGAGCTGGTATCAAGCACACAACCATAGTAGCTCATGACACCTTGCTCAGCCACACCCCCACGGGATACAGCAGTGATAAAAATTAAGCTATGAATGAAAGTTCGACTAAGCTATATTAAACAAGGGTTGGTAAATTTCGTGCCAGCCACCGCGGTCATACGATTAACCCAAACTAATAGACCCACGGCGTAAAGCGTGTTATAGAGAAAAAAATATACTAAAGTTAAACCTTAGCTAAGCCGTAAAAAGCTACAGCTAACATGAAAATACAGCACGAAAGTAACTTTAATATCTCCAACCACACGATAGCTAAGACCCAAACTGGGATTAGATACCCCACTATGCTTAGCCCTAAACCTAGATAGTTAACTCAAACAAAACTATCCGCCAGAGAACTACTAGCAACAGCTTAAAACTCAAAGGACTTGGCGGTGCTTTACATCCCCCTAGAGGAGCCTGTTCTATAATCGATAAACCCCGATATACCTCACCATCTCTTGCTAATTCAGCCTATATACCGCCATCTTCAGCAAACCCTAAAAAGGAAGAAAAGTAAGCACAAGTATCTTAACACAAAAAAGTTAGGTCAAGGTGTAGCCCATGAGATGGGAAGCAATGGGCTACATTTTCTAGAACTAGAACACCCACGAAAATCCTTATGAAACTAAGTATTAAAGGAGGATTTAGTAGTAAATTTGAGAATAGAGAGCTTAATTGAATCGGGCCATGAAGCACGCACACACCGCCCGTCACCCTCCTCAAGTGACAATACCCAAAAAACCTATTTTAACCACCACACCCACAAGAGGAGACAAGTCGTAACAAGGTAAGCATACTGGAAAGTGTGCTTGGATAACAAGATGTAGCTTAAACAAAGCATCTGGCCTACACCCAGAAGATTTCATATTAAACTGACCATCTTGAGCCAAAACTAGCCCAAACACATACAAACTCAACTAACACTAGAAAATAAAACAAAACATTTAGTTACTTGAAAAAGTATAGGAGATAGAAATTTAACTTGGCGCTATAGAGAAAGTACCGCAAGGGAAAGATGAAAGATAAAATTAAAAGCACCAAACAGCAAAGATTACCCCTTGTACCTTTTGCATAATGAGTTAGCTAGAACAACCTAACAAAGAGAACTTCAGCTAGGCCCCCCGAAACCAGACGAGCTACCCATGAACAATCTATTATAGGATGAACTCATCTATGTTGCAAAATAGTGAGAAGATTTGTGGGTAGAGGTGAAAAGCCTAACGAGCCTGGTGATAGCTGGTTGCCCAGAACAGAATCTTAGTTCAACTTTAAACTTACCTAAAAAATCCCATAATTCCAATGTAAGTTTAAAATATAGTCTAAAAAGGTACAGCTTTTTAGAATTAGGATACAGCCTTTATTAGAGAGTAAGCATAAACACTAACCATAGTTGGCTTAAAAGCAGCCATCAATTAAGAAAGCGTTCAAGCTCAACAATCAAAACACCTTAATACCAAAAATATGCAACCAACTCCTAATTTTAAACTGGGCTAATCTATTTAACAATAGAAGCAATAATGCTAATATGAGTAACAAGAAATATTTCTCCCTGCATAAGTTTATATCAGAACGGATAACCACTGATAGTTAACAACAAGATATGTACAACCCAACCATAAACAAAATATCAAACTAATTGTTAACCCAACACAGGTATGCAAATTTAGGGAAAGATTAAAAGAAGTAAAAGGAACTCGGCAAACATAAGCCCCGCCTGTTTACCAAAAACATCACCTCTAGCATTTCCAGTATTAGAGGCACTGCCTGCCCGGTGACATTAGTTAAACGGCCGCGGTATCCTGACCGTGCAAAGGTAGCATAATCATTTGTTCCCTAAATAGGGACTTGTATGAACGGCCACACGAGGGCTTTACTGTCTCTTACTTCCAATCCGTGAAATTGACCTTCCCGTGAAGAGGCGGGAATATAATAATAAGACGAGAAGACCCTATGGAGCTTTAATTAACCGACCCAAAGAGACCTACCAATTTAAACCGATAGGAACAACAAACCTCTATTATGGGCCGATAATTTAGGTTGGGGTGACCTCGGAGAACAAAATAACCTCCGAGTGATTTAAATCAAGACTTACCAGTCAAAAGTATTACATCACTTATTGATCCAAAAACTTGATCAACGGAACAAGTTACCCTAGGGATAACAGCGCAATCCTATTTTAGAGTCCATATCGACAATAGGGTTTACGACCTCGATGTTGGATCAGGACATCCCGATGGTGCAGCAGCTATCAAAGGTTCGTTTGTTCAACGATTAAAGTCCTACGTGATCTGAGTTCAGACCGGAGTAATCCAGGTCGGTTTCTATCTATTAAACAATTTCTCCCAGTACGAAAGGACAAGAGAAATAGGGCCCACTTTACCAAAGCGCCCTTAACCCAATAGATGATATAATCTTAATCTAGACAGTTTATCCAACTACACCACCCGAGAGCTCGGGTTTGTTAGGGTGGCAGAGCCCGGTAAATGCATAAAACTTAAGCTTTTACTATCAGAGGTTCAACTCCTCTCCTTAACAACATGTTTATAATTAATATCCTCTCACTAATTATCCCCATCCTCCTCGCTGTAGCTTTCCTAACCTTAGTTGAACGAAAAGTCCTAGGTTACATACAACTCCGCAAAGGACCAAATGTCGTAGGACCATACGGCCTACTCCAACCTATCGCAGACGCCGTAAAACTCTTCACCAAAGAACCCCTCCGACCCCTAACATCCTCCATATTTATATTCATTATAGCACCAATTCTAGCCCTCACACTAGCCCTAACCATGTGGATCCCACTACCCATACCATACCCACTCATCAATATAAACCTAGGAGTACTATTCATACTAGCCATATCAAGCCTAGCCGTCTACTCCATCCTATGATCAGGATGAGCCTCAAATTCAAAATACGCCCTAATTGGAGCCTTACGAGCAGTAGCCCAAACAATCTCATACGAAGTCACACTAGCCATTATCCTTTTATCAGTATTACTAATAAATGGGTCCTTCACACTAGCCACACTAATCATCACCCAAGAACACATATGATTAATTATCCCCGCATGACCTTTGGCCATGATATGATTTATCTCAACACTAGCAGAAACCAACCGGGCCCCATTTGACCTAACAGAAGGAGAATCAGAATTAGTATCCGGATTCAATGTAGAATATGCAGCAGGTCCCTTTGCCCTATTCTTCCTAGCAGAATACGCTAATATCATTATAATAAATATCCTCACAACAATCCTATTCTTCGGAGCATTCCACAGCCCCTATATACCAGAACTATATACTATCAATTTCACAGTAAAAACCCTATTCCTAACAACTACTTTCCTATGAATTCGAGCATCCTACCCACGATTCCGATATGACCAACTAATACACCTCTTATGAAAAAACTTCCTACCCCTAACCCTAGCCCTATGCATATGACATGTATCAATACCCATTATCATAGCAAGTATCCCACCTCAAACATAAGAAATATGTCTGACAAAAGAGTTACTTTGATAGAGTAAAACATAGAGGTTTAAATCCTCTTATTTCTAGAATTATAGGAATCGAACCTAATCCTAAGAATCCAAAAATCTTCGTGCTACCATTATTACACCACATTCTAAAGTAAGGTCAGCTAAATAAGCTATCGGGCCCATACCCCGAAAATGTTGGTTTATACCCTTCCCATACTAATAAAACCCCCTATTTTTATCACCATTATATTAACCGTTATCTCAGGAACTATAATTGTAATAACAACCTCCCATTGACTTATAGTATGAATTGGCTTTGAAATAAACCTACTAGCCATCATCCCCATCCTAATAAAAAAATACAACCCACGAACCACGGAAGCTACCACAAAATATTTCCTAACACAAGCAACCGCCTCCATAATCTTAATAATAGGAATCATCATCAACCTACTACACTCAGGACAATGAACTGTGTCAAAAGACCTTAACCCCATAGCATCAATCATAATAACAACCGCCCTAGCAATAAAACTAGGACTAGCCCCTTTCCACTTCTGAGTGCCCGAAGTCACACAAGGAATTTCTATACCATCAGGCCTAATCTTATTAACATGACAAAAAATCGCACCACTATCCGTCCTCTACCAAATCTCACCCACCATTAACCCCAATCTACTCCTAACAATGTCCATCATATCAGTCATAATTGGAGGCTGAGGAGGCCTCAACCAAACACAATTACGAAAAATCATAGCATATTCCTCAATTGCCCATATAGGCTGAATAACAGCTATCATAATATATAACCCCACAATAATAGTTCTAAATCTAACCATCTACATTATTATAACACTAACCACCTTTATACTACTTATATATAACTCCACCACAACAACATTATCCCTATCACAAATATGAAACAAAACCCCCTTGATTACCTCACTTATCTTAATACTAATAATATCCCTAGGTGGCCTGCCTCCACTTTCTGGCTTTATCCCAAAATGAATAATCATCCAAGAATTAACTAAAAACGAAATAATCATAATACCAACATTAATAGCCATAACAGCATTACTCAACCTATACTTCTATATACGACTAACATACACTACTGCATTAACCATATTCCCCTCAAATAATAACATAAAAATAAAATGACGATTTGAATGCACAAAAAAAATAACCTTCCTACCCCCTCTAATCGTGATATCAACTATACTACTTCCACTCACACCAATATTATCCATCCTGGATTAGAAGTTTAGGTTAAATTAGACCAAGAGCCTTCAAAGCTCTAAGTAAGCCTCACAGGCTTAACTCCTGCACGCCAAATCATCCTAAGGACTGCAAGAACTTATCTTACATCAATTGATTGCAAATCAAACACTTTAATTAAGCTAAGTCCTCACTAGATTGGTGGGCTCCAACCCCACGAAATTTTAGTTAACAGCTAAACACCCTAATCAACTGGCTTCAATCCACTTCTCCCGCCGTCTAGAAAAAAAAGGCGGGAGAAGCCCCGGCAGCGTCAAGCTGCTTCTTTGAATTTGCAATTCAATATGATATTTCACTACAGGACTTGGTAAAAAGAGGGCTTGAACCTCTGTGTTTAGATTTACAGTCTAATGCCTACTCAGCCATTTTACCTATGTTCATAAACCGCTGACTATTTTCAACTAATCATAAAGATATTGGTACTCTTTACCTTCTATTTGGTGCCTGAGCCGGCATAGTAGGGACCGCTCTTAGTCTCCTGATCCGAGCCGAACTAGGCCAACCTGGCACACTACTGGGAGATGATCAGATTTACAATGTGGTCGTCACTGCCCATGCTTTTGTAATGATTTTCTTCATAGTAATACCCATTATAATTGGAGGATTCGGCAACTGATTAGTCCCGTTAATAATTGGAGCCCCTGACATGGCATTTCCCCGAATGAATAATATAAGCTTTTGACTTCTTCCTCCATCTTTTTTACTTCTACTTGCTTCGTCTATGGTGGAGGCTGGAGCGGGAACTGGATGAACAGTATATCCGCCCTTAGCCGGTAACCTGGCCCATGCAGGAGCATCCGTAGATCTGACTATTTTCTCACTTCACCTAGCAGGTGTCTCTTCAATCCTGGGTGCTATCAATTTTATTACCACTATTATTAATATAAAACCCCCTGCTATATCCCAATATCAAACACCCCTGTTTGTATGATCAGTTTTAATCACCGCAGTCCTACTACTTCTATCACTCCCAGTTTTAGCAGCAGGAATCACCATGCTACTAACAGATCGAAATTTAAACACCACATTCTTTGACCCTGCTGGAGGAGGAGATCCTATCTTATACCAGCACTTATTCTGATTCTTTGGTCATCCAGAGGTCTATATTCTAATTCTACCCGGTTTCGGAATAATCTCACACATTGTTACCTACTACTCAGGTAAAAAAGAACCATTTGGCTACATGGGAATAGTTTGAGCTATAATATCTATCGGCTTTTTAGGTTTTATCGTATGAGCCCATCACATGTTTACTGTAGGGATGGATGTAGACACACGAGCATACTTTACATCAGCCACTATAATTATCGCTATTCCTACTGGGGTAAAAGTATTTAGTTGATTAGCTACTCTCCACGGAGGTAATATTAAATGGTCCCCCGCCATACTATGAGCTTTGGGCTTTATTTTCCTATTTACCGTAGGAGGCTTAACAGGAATTGTACTGGCAAACTCCTCACTAGATATCGTTCTTCACGACACGTACTACGTAGTAGCCCATTTCCACTATGTATTGTCAATAGGAGCAGTATTTGCTATTATGGGAGGCTTCGTCCATTGATTCCCTCTATTCTCAGGGTATACTCTTGACAATACTTGGGCAAAAATCCACTTCACGATTATATTTGTGGGTGTTAACATAACGTTCTTCCCCCAGCACTTCCTGGGTCTATCTGGAATACCACGACGTTATTCTGATTACCCAGATGCATACACAACTTGAAACACAATTTCCTCAATAGGCTCCTTCATTTCATTAACGGCAGTTATATTAATAGTTTTTATGGTGTGAGAAGCTTTTGCATCCAAGCGAGAAGTGGCCATAGTAGAACTAACCACAACTAATCTTGAGTGATTACATGGATGTCCCCCTCCCTACCACACATTTGAAGAGCCAACTTATGTATTATTAAAATAAGAAAGGAAGGAATCGAACCCTCTTTAACTGGTTTCAAGCCAATGCCATAACCATTATGTCTTTCTCAATTAAGAAGTATTAGTAAAATAATTACATAACTTTGTCAAGGTTAAATTATAGGCTCAAATCCTATATACTTCCATGGCATATCCCTTCCAACTAGGCTTTCAAGACGCCACATCTCCTATTATAGAAGAGCTCCTACACTTCCATGACCATACATTAATAATCGTATTCTTAATTAGCTCGCTAGTTCTCTATATTATCTCATTAATGCTAACAACCAAGCTTACGCATACAAGCACAATGGACGCTCAAGAGGTGGAGACCATCTGAACTATCCTGCCTGCCATCATCCTAATTCTCATCGCCCTACCCTCCTTACGAATCCTTTATATAATAGATGAAATCAACAATCCCTCCCTCACAGTAAAAACCATAGGACATCAATGATATTGAAGCTATGAATATACCGACTATGAAGACTTAAACTTCGACTCCTATATAATTCCTACCCAAGAACTAAAACCAGGAGAACTCCGATTATTAGAAGTTGACAACCGAGTAATTCTGCCAATAGAAATAACCGTTCGCATATTAATCTCATCAGAAGACGTACTACACTCATGAGCTGTCCCATCCCTAGGTCTAAAAACTGACGCTATTCCTGGCCGACTAAACCAAACAACCCTAATAGGTACACGACCTGGATTATACTATGGACAATGCTCAGAAATCTGTGGCTCAAACCACAGTTTCATGCCTATTGTCCTCGAACTAGTCCCATTGACATATTTTGAAAAATGATCTGCATCCATACTGTAAATTCATTAAGAAGCTAGATAAGCATTAACCTTTTAAGTTAAAGACTGGGAGTTTAAACCTCCCCTTAATGATATGCCACAGCTAGATACATCAACCTGATTTATTACTATTGTATCAATAATTATAACACTATTTATTATATTCCAACTAAAAATCTCAAAATATCTATACTCATCAAATCCAGAGCCCAAACCTATGACCACACTAAAACAACTTAATCCCTGAGAGAAAAAATGAACGAAAATCTATTCGCCTCTTTCACTACCCCAACAATAATAGGACTACCTATCGTCATTTTAATTATTATATTCCCAAGCATTCTATTCCCATCACCCAACCGACTAATTAGTAACCGCCTAATCTCACTACAACAATGACTGGTACAACTAACATCAAAACAAATATTGGCTATTCACAATTACAAAGGACAAACCTGAGCTCTAATACTAATATCCCTTATCTTATTTATTGGATCAACAAACCTACTAGGCTTACTACCCCACTCATTTACCCCAACTACCCAGTTGTCAATAAACTTAGGAATGGCTATTCCACTATGAGCCGGCACTGTAATTACCGGGTTCCGCCATAAAACTAAAGCATCTTTGGCCCACTTTTTACCACAAGGAACACCTGTTCCCCTAATCCCCATGCTTGTAATCATTGAAACTATTAGTCTCTTTATTCAACCCGTAGCCCTGGCTGTACGACTTACAGCTAACATCACTGCAGGTCATCTACTAATACACTTAATCGGAGGGGCCACCCTAGCCCTAATAAACATTACCACCTCTATTGCTCTAATTACTTTTATAATTCTTATCCTACTAACAATCCTTGAATTTGCTGTAGCCCTAATCCAAGCCTACGTCTTCACCCTACTAGTAAGCCTGTATTTACATGATAATACCTAATGACCCACCAGACCCATGCATATCACATAGTCAACCCCAGCCCATGGCCACTTACAGGGGCCCTTTCAGCCCTCTTAATAACCTCAGGTCTAGCTATCTGATTTCACTACAACTCAACGCTATTATTAACCCTTGGAATAACTACCAATCTATTAACAATATACCAGTGATGACGAGATATTATTCGAGAAAGCACATTCCAAGGCCACCATACGCCCATCGTTCAGAAAGGCCTCCGATATGGAATAATCCTCTTTATTGTCTCAGAAGTATTCTTTTTTGCAGGCTTTTTCTGGGCCTTTTACCACTCAAGCCTAGCCCCAACCCCCGAACTAGGGGGATGCTGACCACCAACAGGCATTATTCCCCTAAACCCCTTAGAAGTCCCACTACTCAATACCTCTGTACTTTTAGCCTCCGGAGTATCAATCACCTGAGCCCACCATAGCCTAATAGAAGGAAACCGAAAACATATACTCCAAGCACTATTTATTACAATCTCCCTAGGAATTTACTTTACACTCCTTCAAGCCTCCGAGTACTATGAAACATCATTCACAATCTCAGATGGAGTTTATGGGTCCACCTTCTTCATAGCCACAGGATTCCACGGACTGCATGTAATTATTGGCTCCACTTTCCTAATTGTATGCTTTTTGCGCCAACTAAAATATCATTTTACATCAAACCACCACTTCGGGTTCGAAGCCGCTGCTTGATATTGACATTTCGTAGACGTAGTTTGACTATTCTTATACGTTTCTATTTATTGATGAGGATCTTATTCCTTTAGTATTAATAAGTACAGTTGACTTCCAATCAACCAGTTTCGGTATAACCCGAAAAGGAATAATAAACATAATAATTACCCTGCTCACCAACATGCTTCTATCTACACTACTTGTACTCATCGCATTCTGGTTACCCCAACTAAATATTTACGCAGAAAAAGTAAGCCCCTATGAATGTGGGTTTGATCCTATAGGATCCGCCCGTTTGCCCTTTTCCATGAAATTCTTCTTAGTAGCCATCACATTTTTGCTATTTGACCTAGAAATTGCACTACTACTCCCCCTCCCCTGAGCCTCACAAACGAATAATCTACCAACCATACTCACCATAGCCCTACTACTAATCTCACTACTAGCTGCAAGCCTAGCCTATGAATGAACCCAAAAAGGACTAGAATGAACCGAATATGATAATTAGTTTAAACTAAAACAAATGATTTCGACTCATTAGATTATAGCTTACCCTATAATTATCAAATGTCCATAGTCTACATCAACATCTTCCTAGCCTTCATCATATCACTTATAGGACTACTAATATATCGATCCCACTTAATATCTTCTCTCCTGTGCCTAGAAGGTATGATATTGTCTCTATTCATTATAATAACCATAGCAATCCTAAATAACCATTTCACACTAGCCAGTATAACCCCTATTATTTTGCTAGTATTTGCAGCCTGCGAAGCAGCACTAGGCTTATCCCTGCTAGTAATAGTATCAAACACATATGGTACTGACTATGTACAAAACCTAAACCTTCTACAATGCTAAAAATCATTATCCCTACTGTAATACTTATACCAATAACATGATTATCAAAACCTAATATAATCTGAATTAACTCAACAATTTACAGCCTACTAATTAGTCTTATCAGCCTCTCCTATCTAAATCAACTAGGCGATAATAGCCTAAACTTTTCACTGCTATTTTTCTCAGATTCACTTTCTGCACCTTTACTAGTATTAACAACATGACTTCTGCCACTAATACTCGTAGCCAGCCAATCACACCTATCAAAAGAAACTTTAACTCGAAAAAAACTATACATTACTATACTCATCCTCCTGCAGCTCCTCTTGATTATAACATTTACCGCCACAGAACTAATTATATTTTATATTCTATTTGAAGCCACATTAATCCCCACTCTAATCATTATCACCCGATGGGGAAACCAAGCAGAACGATTAAACGCCGGCTTGTACTTTCTATTTTACACCCTAATGGGCTCATTACCCCTTCTAGTCGCACTATTATATATCCAAAACACAATAGGAACCTTAAATTTCTTAATTATCCAGTATTGAGCCAAACCCATCTCAACTACTTGATCTAACATTTTTCTCTGACTAGCATGCATAATAGCATTCATAGTAAAAATACCCCTATACGGACTTCACCTCTGACTACCAAAAGCACATGTTGAAGCCCCTATCGCTGGTTCAATAGTACTTGCCGCCGTATTATTAAAACTAGGAGGATATGGAATAATGCGCATCACAATTCTACTAAATCCCATAACAAACCAAATAGCATACCCCTTTATAATATTATCCTTGTGAGGAATAGTTATAACAAGTTCTATTTGTTTACGCCAAACAGACCTAAAATCCTTAATCGCATATTCATCTGTAAGCCACATAGCCCTAGTAATTGTAGCAGTACTAATCCAAACGCCCTGAAGCTATATGGGAGCCACAGCCCTAATAATTGCCCACGGACTAACTTCATCCATACTATTTTGCCTTGCAAACTCAAACTATGAACGAGTGCATAGCCGAACAATAATTTTAGCACGAGGCCTACAAACCATCCTTCCCCTAATAGCTGCTTGATGATTACTAGCCAGTCTCGCAAACCTAGCCCTACCACCCACAATTAATCTAATTGGAGAATTATTTGTAGTAATGGCTTCCTTCTCATGATCTAATATAACCATTATTCTTATAGGTACAAACATCATCATTACAGCCCTATATACCCTCTACATACTCATTACAACCCAACGAGGCAAATACACACATCACATTAAAAATATCAACCCATCATTCACACGAGAAAATACCCTAATAACCCTCCACCTACTCCCTCTTTTCCTCCTATCACTTAATCCCAAAATCGTACTAGGACCCATTTACTGTAAATATAGTTTAACAAAAACATTAGATTGTGAATCTAATAACGGAAGTGCAAATCTTCTTATTTACCGAAAAAGAATGCAAGAACTGCTAATTCATGCCCCCACGTATAAAAACGCGGCTTTTTCAACTTTTATAGGATAGAAGTAATCCATTGGTCTTAGGAACCAAAAAATTGGTGCAACTCCAAATAAAAGTAATAAACCTGTTTGCCCTACTCATACTAACCACAATACTTATTTTATTGCTACCCATCATTATAACCGGCACCCAACTGTATAAAAACAATCTATACCCCTATTATGTAAAAACTACAATCTCCTATGCCTTTACCATCAGCATAATCCCAACCATAATATTCCTCTATTCAGGACAGGAAGCAGTTATTTCAAACTGACACTGACTGTCAATCCAAACCCTCAAGCTATCACTTAGCTTTAAGATAGACTATTTCTCAATCATCTTTGTCCCCGTAGCACTTTTTGTCACATGATCAATCATAGAATTTTCAATATGATATATACACTCAGACCCATACATTAATCGATTCTTTAAATATCTCCTTATATTTCTAATTACCATGATAATCCTAGTAACCGCCAATAACCTATTTCAACTGTTTATCGGCTGAGAAGGAGTAGGAATTATATCCTTCCTACTTATTGGATGATGATATGGCCGAACAGACGCAAACACCGCCGCTCTACAAGCAATCCTATATAACCGCATTGGAGACGTAGGCTTCATCGTAACAATAGCATGATTTCTTACTAACTTAAATGCATGAGATTTTCAACAGATCTTTATTACCCCACATGAAAACCTAAACACCCCCTTACTAGGGCTTCTGCTAGCAGCCACAGGTAAATCCGCCCAATTCGGCCTACATCCATGACTACCATCAGCCATGGAAGGCCCAACTCCTGTTTCCGCTCTACTCCACTCAAGCACAATAGTTGTAGCCGGAGTTTTCTTACTAATCCGTTTCCACCCGCTTATAGAACAAAACAAAACCATACAAACCCTCACCCTATGCCTAGGAGCTATCACAACCCTATTCACAGCTATCTGTGCTCTCACACAAAATGACATCAAAAAAATCGTCGCCTTTTCAACCTCAAGCCAACTGGGCCTAATAATTGTGACTATCGGAATTAACCAGCCCTACCTCGCATTTCTGCACATCTGCACCCACGCATTCTTTAAAGCCATACTATTCATATGCTCAGGATCAATTATTCACAGCTTAAACGACGAGCAAGATATTCGAAAAATAGGCGGACTATATAAACCAATACCCTTTACCACTACCTCCCTTATTATTGGAAGCCTCGCATTAACAGGTATACCCTTCCTAACAGGTTTTTATTCCAAAGACTTAATCATCGAGACAGCCAACACGTCGTATACCAACGCCTGAGCCCTACTAATTACTCTCATTGCCACATCCCTTACAGCTGCCTACAGTACTCGAATTATATTCTTTGTACTCCTAGGACAACCACGATTCAATGCCTTGAACCTAATCAATGAAAATAATACCTACCTTATCAATTCCATTAAACGTCTCTTAATTGGAAGCATCTTTGCAGGATATCTAATCTCTTATAACATCCCCCCAATAACCATCCCACAAATGACTATACCCTATTACCTAAAACTAACTGCTCTTGCCGTGACTATCACAGGCTTCATCCTGGCATTAGAACTTAATCTCATGGCCAAAAACTTAAAATTCAAATATCCTTCAAATATCTTCAAATTTTCCAACCTCCTAGGGTACTTTCCAATCGTAATACACCGACTCCCATCAAAAATGAGCCTAACCATGAGCCAAAAATCCGCATCGATACTACTAGACACTATTTGACTAGAAAATGTATTACCAAAATCCATCTCCTTCTTCCAAATAAAGATGTCAACCACTGTATCTAATCAGAAAGGACTAGTTAAACTCTACTTCCTATCTTTTATAATCACCCTAACCCTTGGCCTACTCTTTCTTAATTACCACGAGTAACCTCTATAATTACCAACACACCAATAAGCAATGACCAGCCAGTAACAACCACCAGCCAAGTCCCATAACTATACAACGCTGCAATTCCCATGGCCTCCTCACTAAAAAATCCTGAATCACCCGTATCATAAATTACTCAATCACCCGCACCATTAAACTTAAACACAACCTCAACCTCCTCTTCTTTCAAAATATAACAAGCAGTCAATAATTCCGCTAACACCCCTGTAATAAACATTCCCAATACAGCTTTATTAGACGTCCACGCCTCAGGGTAAGGCTCAGTAGCCATAGCCGTAGTATACCCAAACACTACAAGCATGCCTCCCAAATAAATTAAAAAAACTATTAAGCCCAAGAATGATCCTCCAAAATTCAATACAATACCACAACCAACACCACCTGCCACAATCAAACCAAACCCACCATAAATAGGAGAAGGCTTTGAAGAAAAACTTACAAAGCTCACCACAAAGATTGTACTTAGAATAAATACAATGTATGTTATCATTATTCTCACATGGAATTTAACCATGACCAATGACATGAAAAATCATCGTTGTATTTCAACTACAAGAACCTAATGACCAACATTCGAAAATCACATCCCCTCATTAAAATCATCAATCACTCATTTATTGATCTACCTGCCCCATCCAACATTTCAGCATGATGAAATTTTGGTTCCCTGTTAGGAGTCTGCCTAATCCTACAAATCCTAACCGGCCTCTTCCTAGCTATACACTACACATCAGACACAATAACTGCCTTTTCATCAGTCACCCACATCTGCCGCGACGTTAACTATGGCTGAATTATCCGATACATACATGCTAACGGGGCCTCCATATTCTTTATCTGCTTGTACATACACGTAGGACGAGGAATATATTACGGCTCCTACACCTTCTCAGAAACATGGAATATTGGAATTATACTACTATTTACGGTCATAGCCACAGCCTTTATAGGATATGTCCTGCCATGAGGCCAAATATCTTTTTGAGGAGCAACTGTAATTACCAACCTCCTATCAGCAATTCCATATATTGGAACCAACTTAGTAGAGTGAATCTGAGGGGGATTCTCGGTAGATAAGGCCACCCTAACACGATTCTTTGCCTTCCATTTTATCCTCCCATTCATCATCTCAGCTCTAGCAGCAGTACACCTCCTATTTCTCCACGAAACAGGATCTAACAACCCCTCAGGAGTTTCATCCAACCCAGACAAAATCCCATTCCACCCATACTATACAATCAAGGACATTTTAGGTCTCCTAGTATTAATTTTAACACTCATACTACTCGTTCTATTCTCACCAGACCTATTAGGAGACCCAGATAACTATATCCCCGCCAACCCCCTAAATACCCCTCCCCATATCAAACCTGAATGATATTTCTTATTCGCATATGCAATCCTCCGATCTATCCCCAACAAACTAGGAGGAGTTCTAGCCCTAGTACTTTCCATCCTAATCCTAGCAATCATCCCAGCCCTACACACTTCCAAACAACGAGGAATAATATTTCGACCACTAAGCCAATGCCTATTCTGACTCCTAGTAGCAGACCTCTTAACCCTAACATGAATTGGCGGCCAACCCGTAGAACATCCTTTCATCACTATCGGCCAACTAGCCTCCATCCTATACTTCTCAACCCTCCTAATTCTAATACCCCTATCAGGTGTTATTGAAAACCGTATTCTAAAATGAAGAGTCTTTGTAGTATATAAAATACTTTGGTCTTGTAAACCAAAAAAGGAGTAACGCACACTCTCCCTAAGACTTCAAGGAAGAAGCAACAGCCCCACCATCAGCACCCAAAGCTGAAATTCTTTCTTAAACTATTCCTTGCCAATACCAAAAACTAACCCTATAACCTTCATAATTCATATATTGCATATACCCATACTGTGCTTGCCCAGTATGTCCTTATCCCCCACTAAACAAACCAAGTAATAATCCCCTATCACCGCCACCCAAAACATACAATGTAAATTTAACCTATCAACTGCCAACCCACAGTCCCCATGAATATTAAGCATGTACAGTAGTTTATATATATTACATAAGGCATACTATGTATATCGTGCATTAACTGCTAGTCCCCATGAATATTAAGCATGTACAGTAGTTTATATATATTACATAAGACATGATAGTGCTTAATCGTACATTGCATTTTATCTCAGGACAATTCTCCATGGACCTCAATTATCCAAAGGAGTCTAGATCACCTGGTCTCGAGAAACCAGCAATCCTTGCTTGAACGTGTACCTCTTCTCGCTCCGGGCCCATTTCAACGTGGGGGTTTCTATAACGGAACTATACCTGGCATCTGGTTCTTACTTCAGGGCCATGAAAGCTCTTAACTCCAATCCTTCAAATCTTTCAAATGGGACATCT